AATCACATTAAATTTGGACAGTTTTCACCGTTTTACTCCTCAGTCCTTCATCACATCCGGGATATAGAAGACTTATTTTAATCGGGCAAAAATTATAAACTCAGATATATAAAAATTTTGGCGTTTTATGCGTAATGGAGTTGGAAAAACTGGATTATCCAATTCTGTCCGTGTGTGTGTCCATGTGTAAACACGATAACTTGAGTACCGTTACAGCTAGGTTGATGAAATTTCATATATAAGTATTTTATCAAAATCGTAGATCCGTATCAACTTTTGAGCGATTTCCGATAACCGGAAGTGGTACTTTTTCTACTTTGAATTTTTCAAAAGCCTATAACTTGAGTTCTATTTCAGATAGATAAATGAAATTTGATATGTAAGTAGAAGATCTAATTCTCTACCTTCTGTCAAATTTTGAGTAATTTCCGTTTATCGGAAGTACTTATTTACGCTACTTCCGATTTCTCAAAAACGCATGTAAATTTATAAAGTACTAATAATATTGCGCACTATTATGCACATCTTTATTTAGCGTTCACTTGGTGTGCATTTCTTTTTTCTACGAGATTATATTCTATTTTTAAAAATTTCAGTATTTAAAATGGATTAAAAATCATGTCTAGAAGTCTATATCCCGAGTTGCCATCCCCCGTAGTGTTATTAATACTAATAGTTTCGCTGTCTGTCTGACAAGAACGCTTTAGAGAAAACACAAGCAAATTAAAAACATGCATAGTAATTCGAAAAACGAAGTATGACGTCGTCAAATTTAGCACAGAGTAGAAAATAATCTCAAGCCGGAGAGTGCACACAGTAATATGACGTCATTGATTCTCGAGTAAACATTGAATAAAAAGGAAATTTTGTCTAATCTAAGTGGTTTGCGTGAAGAGTTTTTTTTCATACAATTCTTCGGGTAGGGGCGAAGCCCCACCCCCGCGTAAGAACGTCTGAGCCCCCCCCCCTCCCTAACTCAAAAGAAATTTCTTCATCGATACTCTATAATAAAACTACCGCCTAATTAATGTGTCTAATCTAAAAAGTGGTTTTCTTGCAATTTCTTTAAAGCAATTCTTCGGGTAGTGGCTAAACGCGACACCAGTGTTTCTTTCAGACTTTTTCCTCCCCGGAGAGGGGTGGGGGTACTTGAAATTTTCGGGGGCGGGGGTAGAATTTTCGGGGAGGGGGCGGACACTGGAAAAAGTATATAATTATATTTCGTTGAATGGGACGGTAGACATGTTTTTTTTTTTGGGGGGGGGGGGGTGGTGTGTGTGTGTGTGTGGGGGGGTGGTTTAGTTTAGAGAAAAGAGACAGCACTATCAGCCTAGCGCCCGTTGTATCCTTCCTCAACGGGCCATTTTTCTCGTCTATAATTTTTCTCGTCTATAATAATAGTTTCGCTGTCTGTCTATCTGACAAGAACGCTCTAGAGAAAAGACAAGCAAATTAAAAACATGCATAGTAATTCGAAAAACGAAGTATGACGTCGTCAAATTTAGCACAGAGTAGAAAATAATCTCAAGCCGGAGAGTGCACACAGTAATATGACGTCATTGATTCTCGAGTAAACATTGAATAAAAAGGCAATTTTGTCTAATCTATCTACAAATGCGACCAGTGTTTCTTTCAGACTTTTTCCTCCCCGGAGAGGGGTGGGGGTACTTGAAATTTTCGGTGGGGGGGGGGGGGGGGGTAGAATTTTCTGGGAGGGGGCGGACACTGGAAAAAGTATATATAATTATATTTCGTTGAATGGGACGGTAGACATGTTATGGAGTATGTGTGTGTGGGGGGGGGGGGTGGGGGAGGGGGGCGAAGCCCCCTCCTCCCAAGTAGAGTTGCCTGAAAGAAACTCTAAATGCGACTTTTGTAATGAATGAGATTAGGTGCATTGTTTAGGGATATGCCTATGACTATATTTTGTATAAATTAAAGTACCGAGAAAATAGACAGCACTATCAACCTAGCGCCCGTTGTATCCTTCCTCAACGGGCCATTTTTCTCGTATTAGAATATTCGAGAAAGTTTAGGGGAGATCACTCCCGGTTTATTTTTTTTTCAATTCAAAACATAGGTAGAAATCTATACATTTAAAAAAAAATTAAATAAAATATGATTTTCACACAAAAACAAAGCAATGAACATTTACTGCAAATCAACCTGACTTCTGCCGGTCAGAAATGCGCTGTTTCAACTTGAATTAATAAGCGAGCACTGTATTCCCTACTATATTGCTTTTGGCACACTTAAAGCATATGTCGAAGGAAACTCAGATATATAAATTTGTAATGGCCCAAATATATAGTGGTATTTATAAGTACCGTCTGGAATGTAGGACATTTTTTTCCAAAAAATATATTGAAATTACAAATCAGGAACAAACTGTACAATGTATTAACTAATAACACGGCAATCATTATAACAATCATTGTTTGTATCTTTAACACATAAACACAGCACAAAAGTATATTTGAGTTCGATTTTTATTGGATTTTCTACTAGAGCACATCTTAGACGATTTTCTTAATGTACCAAATACATCAAAAGGTACCGACATGTCCTACTCTCTTATTCCTTAATGGCATATTCTTGTCTGTGGTCTTTCTGGTGTGGCAATAGTTGCTGGACTAACCTGCTTTTGCTAGAAGTTCCAATAGCAATTACAATGAGGCGAATAAACAAATATTTTGAAAACGAAAGCCTTGTCATCAGTGTTTCTTCCAGACTTTTTTCTCCGGGGGGCACTTGAAACTTTCGGGGGGGGGGGGGGGGGGCGGTAGACTTTCTTCTGTATATAAATTACATAAATTACGTCTAAATTACAGGCGGTAGAATGCCTGGAGGAAACTCTGCTGGTCATTCGAGATCAGGACACTAATACTAATAGTACTAGATATCTAGTATGATTTTAGCCTACGAGAATGTTATGACAGGCCTACACTACAGTATAAAATTCATAAACAAAAGTGAGCTCCATGCAGTGTTTCTTCCAGACTCTCCGGGGAGGCACTTGAATTTATTTATTTATTTTTTATTTTTTGGGGGGGGGGGGGGGCGGACTAAAATTAATCTAAAATTGAAAATAATCCAGGCGCTTATTAATTAAAGTGGTACTTTTAAGTCCAGTCAGTAGTTATGGAGTTTAGCCGATTTAGCCGGTGCTAGACTCGAATTGATCAACGTGGTATTATTTACAAATCATGCAGTTAGGATGCTGACTCCAATCGAATTCTTTTATACATGTGTATTTGTACATATTCGTCCGACCACTTTCTTTTATTCTTTTTTTTTCTCGACATGGTTAGTATAAAGGGATTAAAACATTAAGAAACAAATCACACGAAATACAATCACGACAGTCACAACTCCCCCAAGTGGGTAACAATCTATAATAATAGTTTCGCTGTCTCTCTATCTATCTATCTGTCTGACAAGAACGCTCTAGAGAAAAGACAAGCAATTTAAAAACCTGCACAGTAATTCGAAAAACGAAATATGACGTCGACACATTTAGCGTAGAGTAGAACATAATCTCAAACCAGAGAGTGCACACAGTAATGTAATGACGTCATTGAAACATTGAAAAAAAGGAAATGTTGTCTAATCTAAATGGTTTGCGTGAAGAGTTTCTTGCATACAATTCTTCGGGTAGGGGCGAAGCCCCACCCCCGCGTAAGAACGTCTGAGGGGGGTGGGGGTGGGGGGGGGGGGTTGAGTGGGGGGTGGTTTTAATTTAGACTTTTTCCTCCCCGGAGAGGGGTGGGGGTACTTGAAATTTTCGGGGGCGGGGGTAGAATTTTCGGGGAGGGGCGGACACTGGAAAAAGTATATAATTATATTTCGTTGAATGGGACGGTAGACATGTTTTTTTAGGGGGGGGGGGTTGGGGGTGGGGGGAGGGGGGGGTGTGTGGGGGGGGGGGATGGGGGGTGAGTGGGGGGGGGTGGTTTTAATTTAGACTTTTTCCTCCCCGGAGAGGGGTGGGGGGTACTTGACATTTTCGGGGGCGGGGGTAGAATTTTCGGGGAGGGGGCGGACACTGGAAAAAGTATATAATTATATTTTGTTGAATGGGACGGTAGACATGCTTTTTTTTTGGGGGGGGGGTGGGTGGGGGGTGGGGGGGGGGGTGGTGTGTGTGTGTGGGGGGGGGTGGGGGTGAGTGGGGGGTGGTTTTAATTTAGACTTTTTCCTCCCCGGAGAGGGGTGAGGGTACTTGAAATTTTCGGGGGCGGGTGTAGAATTTTCGGGGAGGGGGCGGACACTGGAAAAAGTATATAATTATATTTCGTTGAATGGGACGGTAGACATGTTTTTTTGGGGGGGGGGGGGGGGTGGGGGTGGGGGGTGGTGTGTGTGTGGGGTGGTGTGTGTAGGGGTGGGGGTGGGGGGGTGGTGTATGGGGGGGTGGTGTGTGGGGGGGTGGGGGGTTGGGGTGGTGTGGGTGGGGGTGTGGGTGGGGGTGGGGGTGGTGTGTGTGGGGGGGGGGGGTGGTTTTTGTTTAGAGAAAAGAGACAGCACTATCAACCTAGCGCCCGGTGTATCCTTCCTCAACGGGCCATTTTTCTCGTATAGAAATAAAAAGCAAGTTTGTCACAGCACGTATTATATGTTGCGATCAATGAGTGAAGTTGGCCAATCCGGACAAAGTACGCATTTGGCCAATATCACCTCCCATAGTACGTCCAAAATTCGAAAAAAGCTTTCTTGATTCAGACATTAACCGGCCAGTCCGGGGACCAGCCATGGGTGACCAGCCAAAGTCCGAATTAGAATATCATAAGCAGATTTTGGGTCTTTGTACTCTTATAATAATAAAATTACGGACCGCACTACATTTTTTTCTCATACATTACACAGAAGTGTGTTGGTATTGCAATTGCGGAGATACATAATAATGGTTTCCATGATGATATTTTTGTACTTTCTCTGTTTGGTATGTTTTAGAATAAGATGATAAATAAGATACTATAAAATAAAAAATAAAAACAGCGCATGGGAGTTAGGGTTTTATTTTAATTTGTTTATTTGAGCAATGCACTAACAATACTAACTATCAGATAGCAATCGTATATAGAAAAAAATGTAAACAAAAAGTACAATGTGAGCTGATCATTCAAAATGTAAAAGGTTTGAGTTTTTACAATATCACAGGTGGCTTTAAAATACTGCAGGATGTTTAAACCAGCTAGCTTAAAACTTGTAAAAAAATATCACAAAAGTTTAATAACAAACAGTCCCACACAGCAAACAATGCTTTGATCTACTCATTTGCTTGTTTTAACATTTTACTTCATACATGTTTAAACATGATGAAGTTCACACATAAAATAATGTTTCATTTTATTACTTTTAATAAATTATAGTTTTTAAAAAGACGTTGAGTTTCATTATAGTTTTACGTAACAAACACAATTATTAAAAAGACGATGAATATTTGTTTAGTTTCCATGGGCAAAATAAATTTAAAAATTCTTTAATGGCTAAAGCGTATAAATGAAACATTGGAATGTTCACCGGACTATTTTGTCAACATTATATAATTCGTTATCTAATCTAGATGGCATACATTACAATAATGTAAAAACGTATGTGCTCACAGTGTCATTTTTTGTACTATAAAAAATCAAATCTATTTATAATCAAAATCTTTGCTTTGAATTATTTTTTACCATGTGACTTAATAATAACTGGATAACAGACTACACAAAATAAGCAGCAGTTTGTGGCTTTGGTTCAATTATATCAGCCCTCAGCTCAAAGACGGCTATCATAGTTTAGGCGTACTTTGTTTTTAAAACAATTTTTCCAGCATTTTCTGCAACAAACGAAAAACGTATTGTTATTTATGTTTTCAAACTCCTATATCTGTTGCTCTAACCACCCCTCCCCCGTTTGACTTACGACATGTTTAGGAGATAAACATTAATGTCAACTTTTTTTTCCTCAACACTCGGTTATAAACCCTCGCCTCCACACCCTTTACTATCTTTGTAGATACCCTCACTTAGCACAGCCTAACCCTTAACCCTTCCTTCAAAAATTCTGACTAGCCCCTCACTTCCCTTCCTCATCTAGTCTATGAATCATGGCTTACCCCGCCTTTCTTCAGGCCCTTCTTGAACTCCTTGTCTGAGTCGGACGAGGAAGAGGATGAAGAGGAGCCGCTTCTTTTGTGATCTTTGTGACCCTTGTCTTTGTGACCTTTGCCTTTGTGGCCCTTGCCGTGGTGGCCCTGATCGTGGTGGCCGTCAGTGATGGCTGGTGGGTAAGGCCCTTGTGGGTACCCCCCTTGTGGGTACCCCCCTTGTGGGTAAGGTGGGTAAGGTCCTGGTGGATAAGGTCCTGGAGCGTAGCCTACTTGTGGATATGGTCCTGGTGGGTATGGTCCAGGTGGATACCCTTGTGGGTACGCGCCTGGTGCGGGTGCTGCATCTAAAACAACAAAAAGTAGATTGTAGTAAAACATTTAAGCTTCATATTTCTGAAAGGTTGTTTTTTTTTAAATATCTATCTATATATCTATATATATAATTCTCCTCTTCGAGCCGTTAGAAAACAAGCTGCAAACGCTCTCCCTACCTCCCCACCCCTACATGGTTTTAGTGAGCTGTGTTCACTCTAAATGTTTACAAGCAGAGCCAACGATTTTAAACGTAGGGGGGGGGGGGGGAGGAGGGGGGAGGGAAGGAAGGGGGGGGGTTATGGTCCTTAACGAGCTACTTATAGTGTTTTAAAGAAATATTTTCAGTGTCAGCGTTGGTACTGTCGAATTCACAAATTATGAGTTAGTGAAAATTAGAAACAACTAAATAGCGGCGTATGTTATGCCGCGGGCCGGCTCGTATATATATAATTCTCTTCTGGGTGACGCTAGAAAACAAGCTGTAAACGCGCTCCCTACCACTCCCACCCCTACACGGTCTGGTGAGCTGTGGTTCACTCTAAATGTTTATAAACAGAGCCGGGTTTAATGACGACTATTAGGGGCAGATAATTTAGTTTGAAACGATTTTAAACGTAGGGAGGGGGGGGGGCTAACTAAGTGGAGTTTACTTTAACGGAGGGGGGTGGGGGGAGGGGGGTTATAGTCCTTAACGAGCTACTTATAGTGTTTTAAAGAAATATTTTCAGTGGCAGCGTTGGTTGCGTCGATTTCACAAATTATGAATAACTGAAAAGTAGAAAAAACAACAACTAAATAGCGGCGTATGATATGCCGCGGGTCGGCTCGTAACTATAATTACTATATAAATGGAAAAAGTTTGCACCACTTGTGACATTGATTCTTTACTCCACTAGGAAAAGTATATTTTTATAGCCATCAGTAGACATTTTGGTGATCCAAAACTCGTAAGTCTTTAACCACTGCATATCAGTTTTCTCTTAATCGTGGCCAGGACAGCGCCTAGCCGATTCCGGCAAGTGCTTAATAAAACAGAAATAACAATAACATTCATGGACGCCACGTTTGATTGGCTACTTACTAGAGTTAATAATGTTGATGACGTTGCCGGCGGGAGCGGCGGGCGGGGGCGGGGTCTCCTTCTTCTTCTCCTCTTTCGGCTCGCTTTCACCCTCGTAGAAAGGTTTACCACTCACCAGATCAAAGCCTTTGCCCTTTGCTAAAAAAAAAATACATTAGGATGTTTATGACTTTCATACTTAAAAAAAAATTGCGTCCATTTTGCAACGCGGTCTGAGTTTTTGTGACATGTATCGATAAAAAAAACAGGGTGGGGAGGAGAAGGGGGGGGGGGAATCGGCACCAAGAAGTAACGTCATTTACCAAAGACCCCTAAGCCTAAAACAAAACATCAATCTTTTCTTTACTGAGGCAAAAAATAATAATAATTACCGTTGAAATTTTTAAATTTTAAAACTAAATCCCTTTTTAATATATTGGTTGAGTTTTTAAAAAGCATTCTTCTAATCTATATTATCCTTAGATCCGCCCACTCACACAAGATCCGAAATATTTGAATATAATTCCTATTCTATCCATCTTTCTAATTGGCTCGCTCAGAGGCGTAGCGGGGGGGGGGGGGGTACATATGTCCCCGGACGCAGACATTAGGAGGCCAAAATGTGTTGGAAAAACAAATTGAAAGTTTGAGGGGGAGGGGATGCAAATTGAAAATTTGGGGAGGGGGGGGGTGCAAATTGAAAGTTTGAGGGGTAGGGGTGCAATTGAAAGTTTGAGGGGCGGGTGCAATTGAAAGTTTGAAAGGGGTGTAAATTGCAAGTTTGTCCCCGGGCGCCGGGAAGGGTCGCTACGCGTCTGGGCGAGCTCTACCAAGAACTAAATCTTTGCCTTGTTTTATTAGCTAAAATATAAAAATTAAAATTTAAAAAAAAAAAACCAATCTGCTTCCTACGTACTTGCAGACCCCCTGTAGAAAACCTGGACCCACTCCTTGTGATTGCACATGCTGACCATCAGGTACATTGGCTTCTTGGGATTTTTGGGAATTCCCGTTAGAATGTTGCCGAAGTACTCCGCGTTGCGCGCGAACTCTTTGACGTCAGCGCCGAATCCTACGGTGCCAGAGTCCATGTCGATGTACATGTAGTACCTGATGTGGAATTAGAATGTCATAGTTTCAATACATCGAATAATTCATGTCATACTTTTATAAAATAGGATAGTTCATTCCATAGTTTCAAAACATCGAATAATTCATGTCATACTTTTATAAAATAGGATAGTTCATTCCATAGTTTCATTACATCGAATAGTTCATTAATTCATATCATAGTTTCATTACATCGAATTCTTCATTAATTCATGTCATAGAATTGGATAATTCATGCCATACTTTCATTACATCGAATAATTCATATCACAGTTTTAATACATCGAATAAATCATGTAATAGTTACATTATATAGAATAAATATTGTCAAATTTCAATTAAATCGAATAATTAATGTCATAGTTTCATAAAATCGAATTATGGGTGGAGGGGTGGGGGGGGGGGGTATCATGTTTCACATTGCAATAAAAGGATAACCGTGGGTTGTTGAGGTTTGAAAAGTTCAGATTAGATAGCTAAATGGTGTTACTATCAGAATTAGTGTAAAACCCATTCTAGCAAAAAAAAAATTGTTGTTGAAAATATGTGTGGTGTCTGGCCTTAATGTAATGTATTCCAAAACATTTCGCAAACTACCAAGTCGTGCTTGCCGAGGTTAAGAAAGCTTCTGCCCGTATCTTCTAAACCAGCTGGACACTTACTTGTCAGGCACGGCCAGGTACAGCCTCTGTTGGACTTTGCCAAAGTGGAGAGCACGTTGCTTAGGCATGTCCAGCCCCCAGGACTGGCTGTGGTCACCCACAAGACTGACCCGCCCTTCTCTCTTGAGCTTCACGTCTTCAGATCCCACGCCCACGCACGATGAAACGCCACGGTTGTTTTTCATAGGCCAGATGATCTGTTGATATTAGAGTGACTTTGGTCAAATGAAATTTTCGTACACAAGACAAATGATATACAAGCCTTATGACTTGTTGATATGCAAATGACATTTGCCAAAAAGCGTGTTGATAAAAAAAGCTAAATGAAATATTGATAAAAAGCCAAACAATATTGTAATATAAAAGAGACATTGACCAAATTATTTGTTGATATTATTTGATAATGGCCAAATTACATTTTCTGATTGAACTGAAATTCGCCAAATGACGATTGATATTCAATTGACTTTGATTTAATGGCATATTCAAAAGCCAAATGACATGTTGTAAAAGTGAAATAAGGCTATTGACGTGTTGACATACAAGGGGCATTGGTTTTCCCCCCATAAAATCAGCTATTGCCTTACATTGATGAATTTGGTGTAGTGTGTGGGAGTGGTGGGTAGTAGTGGATAAGTGTGGAGAGCTTTCTCTGTCCACTCACCTGCCACACTCCCTGCATACATACACACCTACCCTGTCAATCCACCTGTCTATTGCCAAGAACACCCTATAACCTACTCACCTAACTACTACACTTATAAAACCCACCACACATTTCGCCTCACCATACCTTTCTACACCGCCCCCACCTGTCCGTTAACCTCAAACACGTGTTTCTCCTCTCCCAGCTCTCCACACACCCCACCTGTCCACTCACAACATCTGTTCACTCACAACACCTGTCCACACACCCACACCTGTCAATTCACCACACCTGTCCACTCACCACACCTGTCCACTCACCACACCTGTCCACTCACCACACCTGTATACTCACACACCTGTCCACTCACCACACCTGTCCACTCACCACACCTGTATACTCACACACCTGTCCACTCACCACACCTGTCCACTCACCACACCTGTATACTCACACACCTGTCCACTCACCACACCTGTCCACTCACCACACCTGTCCACTCACCTCAAACACGTGTTTCCCTTCATGCATCCCAGCATTCCACCTAGCAGCGTCGGTCGTGGTCATCCCCAGCCTCTCCCTGACCACGTGATTGGGCCCAGCGACGTGTATACCATCAGACACATCTGTGAAACCCACGTCCATGGATCTCTTCAACACCAGGTTGTTGGTCCACTCAGGCGGGCCTGACCAGTCAAAGACATACAGGCTGATAGTTACATAACGCCATGGTATTTGTAAGTAAGTGAAATTTGATAAGACTTGTTTTCTAGGCTAATGTTGCTACCCTAACCCTAGACCCAAACATGGAAATGAGATGGAATCTACCTGGAAAGTTAGAGAGGGGGGGGGGGAGGGCTATTGGGAATGTCGAGGAGGGAGATGGAGGAAGAGGTGCTGACCACAGGCAAAACCTGGCAAGAACTCTGATGGCTTGTCCACTAGAGTAGACTTTTTTCCTGTGGAAGGGGGGGGGGCACTTGAAAATTTGGGGGGGACGGACTAAATTTTAAGGGGGAGGGGCGGACACTGGTAAAGTATATATTTTCTATATAAAATATAAATTCCATTTCGTTCGGGTTGGGGGTGGGGGGAGGGGGGCGGTAGACTTTGGACCCCCCTCCCCCCTCGAAGATATTCCTGGAAGAAACTATGTTGCCCAGGACAGGGAGGCGTGGCGAAGATTTTGTTCCTGCCTTATTCTCCACATGTAATCAGGACACAGGGGGTTGACACTGAGTGAAGTATATATTTTCCCTATATTTTTTTTTTCTATTTCGACCGGAGGGAGGTGCCTTGTAATCAACTTGAGGGTTTGTAGGAGGTGTGGCTGGGGGAGGGGGGTAAAAATAGAACTGCATACCTGGGAGTTCAAGTTGAGGAATAAAACAGAACATTATAAATACCTGAATGTTTAAGTTTGTGTGTGTGTGGGGGGGGGGGGTGAGATCAAAATAGAACAGTATAATACGTGGGAATTTAAGTTGAGGAATAAAATGAAACAAAACATTATAAATACCTGAATGCTTAAGTTTGTGTGGGTGGGGGGGGGGGGAGGTGTGAGGTTGAGGAATAAAACAGAACATTATAAATATCTGAATGTTTAAGTTTGTGGGAGGGGGGGGGTGAGATAAAAATAGAACAGTATAATACGTGGGAATTTAAGTTGAGGTATAAAATAAAACAGAACATTATAAATACCTGAATGCTTAAGTTTGTGTGTGTGAGTGTGGGGGGGGGGGGTGAGATAAAAATAGAACAGTATAATAAGTGGGAATTTAAGTTGAGGTATAAAATAAAACAGAACATTATAAATACCTGAATGCTTAATTTTTGTGTGTATGTGTGTGTGTGTGTGTGGTGGGGGGGGGGGGGAGATAAAAATAGAACAGTATAATACGTGGGAATTTAAGTTGAGGTATAAAATAAAACAGAACATTATAAATACCTGAATGCTTAAGTTTGTGTGTGTGTGGGGGGGGGGGGAAGGGGGATAAAAAAAAAGAACAGTATAATCATACGTGGGAATTTAAGTTGAGGAATAAAATAAAACTGAACATTATAAATACATGAATGCTTAAGTTTGTGTGTGTGTGGGGGGGGGGGGGGGGAGATAAAAATAGAACAGTATAATAAGTGGGAATTTAAGTTGAGGAATAAAATAAAACTGAACAGTATAAATACCTAAATGCTTGAGTTTGTGTGGTGGGGGGGGGGGGGGGGGAGGGGGATAAAAAAATAGAACAGTATAAGTATAATCATACGTGAGCATTTAAGTTGAGTAATAAAAGAGAAGAGTAAAATTACCTCGGCGTACGACGTTAGGGTTGACCTTGGTCTCCGAACAAAGGATGACCACCGCGACCAGGCCGATGAGACCACCGACCACCGCCACCACCGAGAAGACCACGGGGTAGGGCTCATTCTCGCCGCTCTCTCCGCTAGGGCGCCTGTGTTTACAAACATAACCTTTGACCCGAGCTCTTCAACATAGGAGTTCATCTTAGAGACTTAACTTTTCCTGACACAAAATTTAGTATAGGTCTAGATCTAGATCTATATACACATACAAGCCTACACATTAAAAATCTAATCTTCGATCATCAATTTAAGTTCTTTCCTGTCATAATAATGATATGGTTCCATAGCCTAATAGACCATAGTAGTCCCACTACTACTCATATTTTTAAATACCAATTTAAACTAATTAATTAACTACCTTTCTACCAGTGTTAAGTCTAAATATTAAAGTAAAATGTCCTTACCCCTCTACAGCTGTGAAAAAAAAAAAGTTGAATTAATAGTAAAATTGAAACAAAATTTTATATTAGGCCTAATTAGAACAGAGCAATTATAAACCAACAAAATTAAATAACAAATTAGAAAATTTAAAACATCTTTTTAAAAAAAAATTCAACATTTTAATTGGGTATTTAAATCGTAGTATAGGATTAAGAAAAACGCAGAGTATATGAAAATATTTTTAGATTCCCCGAAAAATATATTTCAATGTATGCCACCATAAAGGAAGGACACGCTTCGTTAGACGCCCCCCCCCCTCCCCCCCACCCCCACCACACTATCGAGTTGATTGTTCTTCAATAACATACAAGGACTTAGATCAAAGTTCTGATATACCAGATACCTTCCCCCCCCCCCCCCCCCCCCCCCCCACACTCACAACATGCAATCGACTTTATTGTTCGTCAATGACATACAAGGACATAGATCAAATTTCGTAATAACAAATATCAAAATGTAACTACGCATTTAATTTTTAAAGTCGCATACAATACGTGTCTCTGATAATTGTGAATGTAATGAATGAAAATATATAATTATTTATTCAGTTATGTATTTCTAATTAAAATTATAATCATGGCATGGGGCAACGTCACCACACAGCCTTTGAGTTCATTGAATCTTATTTCTGCTACAACTACTCCCCCACCCCTGATCCTCCCCTGCCCCCCCCCCCCCATACCCCCAACTCCTCCTGTACGAGCTTGTCAAAAAATTTGTCTCCACTCAGTAATAAAGAAAAGCCTAGTTCTAGTAATCACGTGATCTTACTTTCAATATCACAGATTTATTGCTGCTTTCCAAGTAATCCGGCTTTGTTTGCTAACAACTGCACCCTTCACTCTTATAAAAACTGTTAAACATTTTACGATCTATCATTGCTAAAACCCCCACCCTTCTCTCTTATAAAAACTGTTAAACCTTTCACGATCTATCAATGCTAACACCCCCACCCTTCACTCTTATAAAAACTGTTAAACATTTTACGATCTATCATTGCTAACACCCCCACCCTTCACTCTTATAAAAACTGTTAAACCTTTCACGATCTATCATTTCTAACACCCCCACCCTCCACCCTTATAAAAACTGTTAAACCTTTCAAGATCTATCATTTCTAACACCCCCACCCTCCACCCTTATAAAAACTGTTAAACCTTTCACGATCTATCAATGCTAACACCCCCACCCTTCACTCTTATAAAAACTGTTAAAACCTTTCACGATCTATCATTTCTAACACCCCCACCCTCCACCCTTATAAAAACTGTTAAACCTTTCACGATCTATCAATGCTAACACCCCCACCCTTCACTCTTATAAAAACTGTTAAACATTTTACGATCTATCATTGCTAACACCCCCACCCTTCACTCTTATAAAAACTGTTAAACCTTTCACGATCTATCATTTCTAACACCCCCACCCTCCACCCTTATAAAAACTGTTAACCCTTTCACGATCTATCAATAAGGTCGGTAGATAAGAAAAACCAACAGCGGCTAAACCCATTGAACTGGTGCATTAGTTGCACACTGAACCTTGTTTTCTCAGCACGGCCGATCGACTTAGTCGTGGCTTAAGTCCTTTGTATGATCAGAAGACGTTTCATAAAGAAAAAATTCAGCTAGCGCCACACATAAATAACTTGTTTAATAACTTAGGAGGCTTCTGTTGAATTATGTTCAAGGTTTTGTAAGAAGTGCCCCGGATAACGAGCTTACCGTGTTAAAAGGTTTCATTCTACGAACGCAACGAGTTAAAATCTTTCATGTTAAACTTTCCATGTTATATATATTTCATGTTACGAACTTTTCATGTTACATATATTTCATGTTATGAACGTTCCATGTTACATATATTTCATGTTATAAAAGTTCCATGTTACATATATTTCATATTGCAAACGGTCCATGTTGATTGGTTAGGGGAAGGGAGGGGGGAAGTCAACCCCCTCCTGTGAAGCCACCCCCTGGATCCGCCTATGATCCTGTGTTAAAACGTTTCATATTATTGACTTCCTATCGACCCAAATACTGTCTTGGAACACAAAGGTGTTTTATTTAAAACAAGACAATCTAATGCTCTATCGCAGATCCAATGACTGCTTATTCCCCGAAACTCGAAACGATTTGCAATTGCCGGTTGACTAACTATCAAAAGCCGGTTCCAATATAACTATCGTTGTAGATTATAACCGCCGTGTTTTAAGACGCCTTTGTCTGTTTGTGTCCTTCTAGTATATAGTTTTAGGCTGTTTCTGTACAATCTATTCTCTATTTCGATATTATCTAGAGTCTATTTCGATACAACATAGGCTACTCAAGGAAGCTTAATACAAATGAGATGTTTCAAGTGGGTAAAAATTCATTTTACTTCCAGGAAAAATTGATACTAGATTGTTTAGCGCATTGTATGAACATTAAAATAAAGGAAAGCATAGCTCCCATTACAGATCTAAAGGTCCATAGGGTAGATGAAGTAGAGTTAATATTTTTTATTCTCGACCTCGGTATATGAAGGGATGGTGTGGTCACCACTATGCCCCGACGTGTTGACTTTGCCCAACTTGAGTCAGGTACCCATTAGAGCTGGGTGGACTCACGGACGTCCTACATTCCAGAGTCCGGACGGAGATCCGAACTCGAGACCTTCGAGAGTTAACCTTCTAAACACGTCGCTTAGAAATTTAACCAAACATATTCAACCGTGGCATTTGAAGCAATTGAAAAGTGAAAATATTTACCGTGATTGCTTAGAGAAATTCACTTTAAACAAATTTTCAAAGACCACTGCAATGGTTACATTAATTCTTACATACAACTCCACATAAACGCAAAACTAACTACAACGCGTGACATCTATATCAGCGGTTTCCACTCCTCCCCCCCCTCTCAATGTTGACTTGGCTAGTATAAATTATATCCTTGTAGTAGTTCAAAATTCTAGTGCTAATTTCAACTTTTAAAAAATGAGTTTAGAGAAATTGTAGGAAAATAAAACCTGAGTTAGGTAATTATTTAAACACAGACCTCGCTAAATTCTAACGAAAACTTAGTTGCGCTGTTGTATGCTAGATGTTGACACTTTGTTATTAAAAAAAAAAACCCAACTTAACGTCTAATAATTGAAAGGTATAAATTCAACGATGAATTTCAGAAAACCTAAATATATTGCATGCTGCAGTAGGTCTAACTACGTTCAACTTTATAAAGACGATTCGAATAAACACTAACCTTAGTTATGGTTTAAGATGAGTTATTGTTTTGTTTTTGTTGTTGTTTTTTTTTTGTTTTTAAAAACTCACCAGCGATGTGACATGCCACCAGCGCAGCAGCAACGAGCAGGGCGTGACTCCACGCCATTGGACAGAGATCTAATCCCAGAGAGAAGCAAAAGTTGAGCATTAGTAACCAACAACCTGGCGGGGGGGGAGGGGGGGGGGGTTAAGGTGGTGGGGCGGGGGGGGGGGTTAAGGTGGTGGGAGTGGCACCACGGTCGAGTGGTAGAGCTCTCGAGTGTTTAAAGTCTCGAGTTCGAGTCCGCAGGTTTTGAGTCAACGTTTGAGGGGGGGGGGGGGGGGGAAGCAGGCATAGGGGCTGCATGGTTTGACTGCACAAACTCCCTTAAAAGTTTAAACAATCAGATAAACTCTACTTCATCTGCTTTTATAACATTGTAAGTTTAGATTTAAAAAGGGGATTTCCATACTGAAAATGTGACAGTAAGTCTACCGGTATATCAGAAAAGGGAGACAACAACAAACAACACGACAGAAATTGCAACAAACTTTGTGTTATCATGCACGAATTATAATGATTTATTCTGAAGTTTACTGATGTAGCTGAATAGCACAATCACTGGTACAAGTCTATGCTAACACAATCAGTTTTAGTATTTAAATAATGCAACGTTTTAGAAGTTGTGATGTGCAGGTATGTGTTTTTTTAAAATGCAGTTGAAATGTTTAGAAGCAAAACTAAATGTGTTCACATGTGCAAACTTATTTAAACTTTAAAATGGCTATTAAAACATACTTAAATTAAAAAAAACATAAATAATCAAAAGTAAACCATCTCACATATATAATCTTACATATTTATCTAAAATTTATTTATAATAAATCGTCTAAAACAAATCATCAAAAATACGTTATCTAAAAAGATTATCTAAAATAAATTATCTAAAATAAATTATCTAAAATAAATAGTCTATAAATCAGTTAAACTAAATAAATCCTCTGAAACAAACGATCTGAAATAAACCAGACTGACCGTTCAATAACGCCCAACGTGCCCACAGGAAAGTGAAAGCCCAGCGCAGGCCAGATAAAAATATACCCGGCACCAAATCGAGCGCCTCTCCACACACAATGGTAACCAAAAGGGCAACGCACAAACAATTTCAGTTGGTTTTATATCCTAACTGTACTGATCGCTGATTCTCGCCCTTGGACGCAGGGGCGTAGCCGCACCATTCGGCTTGAGGGGGAAATATTGATTTTTATTTTTACGCTTCTATATTTATATAGAAAGAGGAAAGTAGGTAGGCTAAAATAAACTTGGAAGAAGTCAATTGTAGGAGAAGCAGGCGGAATGTCGTGGACCCGACTTTGAAGAATGGCACAGAATTGAGTTGGATCGAAAGGCTTGGTTGTGTCCGTATGCTCCACGTGGAGTCCACATGAATAATGATGATGATATGTAGGCCTACATATTTATAAGGGTCGGGGTTTAGCGAAAGAGCGCATGGTTGACAACCAGAAATAGCCCAGTTTAAACCCCAGGGTAGAAAACTGGGGACAGAGGCCCACCAAAGGGATAAAACTCTGAAATCAAACAGGGGATACGATTATCAACTCAGGCTTTTCTTTGGTTGACTCTGCAACCAAAACTTAATCGGTATGCTTTGGATTGATATAGGGACGCATGGGCATGATCACTCATGATCTTATCGTCTGATGCCCTGAAGATTCGTCTTCCGAGGCAAAACGGATCCAAATCTTCGACCGTCTTTCTTCTTCTTCGTTCTTAATTTTAGTGTTGGAAGAGATTCCGTCCAACACAATTAAGTATTACGTGTCATCTTTTAGTGCACTATTTAGGCTGTTGACTCTGATTTCAGCCTGCTTTTCCATAGCCTTTGTCCAACCAAAATCAAACTATAAGGCAGCAGCTGTTTGATTTTGGAGTTGTCCCTCCTAGAAGAGTTGCTGTCCCCAGCTAACGAGCCTCATCTGACCGAGGGTTTGCACAGCCTTTAGCTCAGTGGCGTAGGCAGGCGGGGGTTAGGGGGGGTCATAACCCCCCCATAGACCCCTCGGTATATATATATATATATATATATATATATATATATATATATATATATATATATATATATATATGGTGCAAATCGAAAGTTTGAGGGGGGGGGGGTGCAAATCGAAAATTTGTCCCCGACCCCGGGTAAAAATTGGACCCCCCCCTTGAGACGATCCTGGCTACGCCACTGCTTGAGCTAACCGACCCGACCACGCCGACCTCCCTTCAACCGTCCCAGCAGCGCCTTTGTCAGTACGATGTACAAGTAGTCGATAAAGTTCAAATAGCCAATAGAAAACCATGTAACACAGTGGCGTATTGATCATTCCCTGACGTCGTTACTAACACGCGGTTGATAAGATAAACAAATCATTTCGATGGTGTATTTAATTAAAGGGGGACAAGCATATGAATAAATGAGGATTTGTTGAATTTTAAAACAACCAAGTTATTAGTGTAGTAATCAAGGTTGACATATAGATCTACATCTGAAAGAAACACTGATCGTATAGTAACAGCATTCACTACCATACTCGAGGAAGCTTAGGACTTTACTTTTGTGTATATGATTAACTATGTGTCTCTCCGTAACGCACAATCCTGGCTGCTGTATATTTCTACTTATTTATGTAACTGTTGTGACGGCATGGCTAGGTGGTAGAGCGCTACACTGCCAACTCAAAAGTCTCGAGTT